GCGTGAATAGCAAACTCGCAAGATATTATATCCAGTATGACATACAAACCCTCGATTAGAAATGCATCTGACCTAAAATCACTATTTCTACTGAGAAATGTCTCGATATTTGTCTGAAAATGCAGTACGTGCCGAATTTGCATCATTAGTGGTGCCAGGCCAGCGTCAAGTTTAGCCACATCCACTAAAAAAACACATACTTTTTACCCGACTGCGCCCGCAAGCAGCGCGGAAGCGCCACGCGCAGACAGGGTATTGTGTTTAACAGACTATATATTTTTAAGTCATTATGAATTTGATTTTTTTCGTTGTTCAATTACTTGGCTTTAGTTGCTGCCTTTATTAATACGAAATTTCTGTACCAACACATCGTTTTTACATCTGAGATGCAATTATAACTCGAAAATATGTATCCACACGAGGATTAATACCATGTTGCATATTTTCTTTTATGGTTAGCTTTGCATAAAATTTTAAGAAATTATTGAACTGACTAGCCGTAAGTTTACAAAATTACCGAACAGTACCTTGACTGTGAAGATGTTCCAGTAATAATATCACTGGTCAACAAAAAAACAATTTCTGCATGTAACATGACAACTTTTGTCTAGTTATGTTAAGGACAAGGTTAATGATTATAAAAATAAAATTAGAATGCTTCGTATTTTCGTAATTAGATATTTTGAAATTTTTGAACTTAATCCATTCATGAATTCTGTCTACATTTACTTTCATATTACAAATCAAAGCGTGATAAGTAGATAACATATCCGCAACAATACTTTTAAAGTCACTTGATTTGTGATTTCGTAATAAATTGGAAGTTACTTTATTGAAAGATTTCCAAAGAGGTTTTTTTGCATAATTATAATACCTTTTGTATCAGTAAGATAAAAATTATAATCAGATGAGTGGTTTATATTTTTTATACAAATCATAGGAATTGCAAAAGGTACAGGACCGATATTTTTCTGCCTATCCAGTAAGAAGACCCATACATGTAACACAATAGATGTTGTAGAGCCCACAATTTATCTTGTTATCCGATAGCAAAGCCAAAATATTGTTCATATATTTTAGTTACTGATGATTCACAAATGTACCAAAAGTTGTCATTTCTGCACTTGCATTATTTGAAAGAGCAAAGACCACTACACTTAAAAAAATGTGAATACAAAAGCTTAACAAAATCGGTTGATTTCCAATTTTGTGGTAGAAGCTGTCATGAAAACGGACCTGATGAAATCATTTTTTTTTTAATTTTTCAGGGCGGTTTTCGCACTTAGTCCTTATTATTGGACCATTGTGCACATCTCGAAACATTTCCGTTTACTCCAGCTAGCCCTAGTTAGTACAGAAGAAAAGTAGCCTTGGCAGAAGAGAAGTTGTGCTCGGCCACACTCCTGCATTTCACGATGACGTGCTGTGGCGTTTCATTTGCCTCCATACATCCTCTGCAAAGGGGGCTGTCTGTTACTCCTATTGAATATTGTTGTTTGTTTAGGGGACAATGACCAGTCAGGGTTCCTATAATCTTGTGGAGTTTGTCACTATTTAGTCTGGTAAGGGTGCGGGCAAGTCTCTTGTTTGCCGCCAGAACTGCATTTTCAGTTGCCAGTAATCTTGACCTGTTTTCACTCTGTCAAGTGTGATTCCCGAGTTCTTTGTCTGAGTTAAGTGTGATTTCTGAGGTATGGGCAGCAAAGGTTTCAAACCATACACTTTTGTGTCTGCTCCTCTCTTAGTCAGTTTGTCTGCTGCATTGTTTCCAATTGAGTTGCATTGTCCTTTTATCCATTGCAGAGTTACCGTGTTGGTTACCGCAATGGATATAAATATGGTGATAAATTGAGGGTAGGTAGGTAATTCAAAATTAGAAAGCACATTTCATGTTACAAAATTTTGTCAACCAGTGTATTTAGAACTTTTCCATTTATCATGCTCAAGTTCAAATCACAAAGATTTTTTTAAGTTGTGACCTGAAGTTTCCACAGTTAAGGATAAGGTGACAATTTTTTATCTGTTCTTCCACCCAGTTTTGTGGGAAAGAATGAGGTCACTGGTATCTGTTGTATTGGATGTGCAATGGTTGGCAACTGGATACGGTCTTGACTTTGCTGTAGGATTAAACCAAGCTACATGAACAAAAGTAGTAGTAAAAAGGCTATTTTCAGTGATAGAAATATTTTCTGACTGCACAATTTGCTGCTTGTAAATTGCTTGTTCATCAAACCCCTAAAACCTCTCAAATATAAACATGCAACTTCTTGTGTGCTTTTTCTTCTGCAATATTCTAGAAGGCTAGCATCATGACTCAGCATAATTTGTTGAAGAGTGTGTGTGTGGGAAAGCAGGATATCCTTGACTATTTAAATCCTGCCTTAAGAATTCATACATTGCCACACTCAGTTTTCTATCAATAATCACACCCAAGGCTTCCTCTGATGTGTAAGGTTTTGGAGCCCCATAATTTTTTTTCGTAACCATGGATGTTCGTTTTGGTAACTTTAAAAGAGTACTTTTCCTTTTAAGTTATGTTGCCCCACATCTGATGATTTGATAAATTGTAGTTATTTTATTTAAATTCCAGTAAACCTCTTGCCCTATTTGTTCTACTGTCAAGTGGTGTTCTACAAATAGGATCTTTTTTCATACTTGTTTTAACGGTAGAACAAACAGTAAACCAAATGGTACTTCTTAGCCACTGAACTGACTTTAATATGGACAAAAAGGATGAGTCTGTATGAAAAGCCTTCTATACACCAAAATAATTTATAGTTATCAAAGAGAAATTAAAGAATTGGAACCATATTTCAATACAACCAATTATTTAAGTGTTTAATATTAGGCTTAATTGTGTAACTTTTTGGTTCATATTTGGAAAGAGATTATTTATGTCACATTTTGACACTAACTTTAAGGGGACTGTGGAAAGAGAAAGTAAAAAAAAATGGGTGCGTGTACTTATGTAGGCGTGTGAGAAGTTACCCTTCTTTGGCATCGTTTAAAATTAGTTTTTAATTGCATGCAAATAATTAATTACAATAAATTAATAAAAAGTCTGGAAAAGGACACAGTCTATAAAGTTCAGTTTTAATTTGAAAAAATAAATAAATAATCAAAATATTCAATTAAAATCGCTACTGAATATAATTTATTAGAACATATGTGATTTGCACTTGTATGAAACTCAAACACGTATTCCGAATATACAAACTAGAAACATGTGGATAAATATTATAAATATGAATACCTATAACTGTTACTTTATTACAAAAAATAAAGATGTGGTTTTTGGTTCTACTACACCAATGGTCAAGAGATGGCGCTGTAGTCTCCTGAATCGCGCTTTGGTTCCGTTGTTCCAGATTAATAAATACTTTTGATAGGCCTTCACAATGCAGTCGTTAGCACCCACTAAATAGAGATTCTATTTCTATTTTGTTGGTAGATTTTCTTAATGTGCGGTAAACACAAAAGTAACGCATGAAGTTGGTCGCTAAAGCGACCAACTTCATGCTGTTAAAATTTTGTGTTACAGTGATGCGCGCGCATCTTAAAATTTCACTGTCATCAATTTTTCATAGCGCGCCTAAAGAAGTATAACTTCAAAAAATGCCACATGAGTACAAATCATGTTAACTCTATTTTGAAATTCTGGCATTTTGTTAAGGTGCTCCTTGACAGGGATTCACCTGTAATGTAGCATTTTAGGATTGATTTTGAGTATTACATTACAATATTGCCTCTCTGACTAACAAGCACTCGCCTCTACTACATATATTTGTTTTCGTTTGTGACACATCACTGTCGAAAAGTAAATGCAAATTGATGTCACAAATTTTATCATAACATTAAAGATTATATTATTATCATTACAGGTTTCCACACTATAGACATGAATGCAAAGGAGATATACAAAATAAAATCCCAGCTGAATAATTGTAGTATGTCACTCCCTCACTGAGAGCATGGGGTTAGTTTTAGAAATAAGCTTCCTCGTTCTGAGAAAACTGACGCCGTGGAGGGGCTCAGGGGGTTTTACTGAAACTGAAATGTAATGTTACAGATTCAAACATTACATCAGTTGGGGAGGAGAACTCTACCTACTAAATACCCAATCAGATACACAAAAACCTGAATATGTTTACTGATTAACATTACAATAATTTCCATACACAAGTACAATATTTTCTAGTATCTGAAGATACTTAGAAATACAAATTAGCTTTTGTTTGATAAAATATATTGCTGCCACTTTCTTCGCTATAACAATAAAGTAAATGGCTTTGAATCATATAGAATTATTTTGATTTTTTAAATGATTGATATTATTTGGGTGGAAATGAAATATCTACTCAACAATGATATGAACAAGTAAGATTTCTAAAATAAGATTTAAATAATGGGCTGATAACGACTCGTGACTTCATTCTCTGCTGCATATAACAAATGATAGGGTCCATAAAAAACTTCCCCTACATAAAACTAGAGCATAATCGAAGTCCTCCACGGCTCAATAGGAACAAAAAATCGCCAAAATTGGTTCAGCGATTCGAGCGTGAAAATATAACAGACTGATAGAAGGCCAGTTACTCTTGCATTTAGGATATCGTTATATATGGAAGTTTATCTTTACCTAGTGAAATATCGATTCGTTGGCGTCATTATCACTAGCTATTCCTACCGGTAAAAACTTTAATCTTCTAAATATAACGTATTTAATAATACCTAAAATCTATGTTAATATCTAATGCTGAAATCCAATTTCCGTGATTATCAAACTTTCTAATCAAATGTTTGACTAAAAGGATTCAAATAAGAATTGCCTGGCCTCTCAGCCACCACATGTCGCCATCTTGTCAAACTTGCCGGATCAAATTCGTCATCCATTTACGCTATTATGCACTGTAATCACTAGTTTTAGACACTTAAAACACAGGATACACTAAACATTTTTAGATCACTGACCACAAAGACCTAAACTGCTTGAAACTTACTTCGAAACCTTCTGACTTGGCCCACACATTTCCATCGTGACCGGCAATCGCAGCTTTGGTTACACATCTGGATGCCATTAACTGTTTATCGACATAATCTTGCCAGCTCATTTTGATAGAGTTCAATTAAAAATAAAACTACTTGGCTAAATCACAATTACGCTTCACAACGAGCAAGCGCTCCACACGAACAAAAAGCACTGCCGGCTGAAACGTTTCAAAATGGCAGCGTACCCATAGACACGACCGGAAGTACCAATGTGCCAACATAACAATTTGCTTAGTCTATGGTTACTGAACATAGACAATTGATATTTTCAACGGTCCATCAAATAAAGTCGCCGCCTGACTGATAGCAATGATGAACGATGTAACACATTACAATCATCATCATCATCATATCAGCCGTACGACGCCCACTGCTGGACATAGGCCTCCCCCAAGGATCTCCACAACGATCGGTCCTGCGCTGCCCGCATCCAGCGTTTTCCCGCGACCTTCACCAGATCGTCGGTCCACCTTGTAGCGGGTCTTCCCACTGAGCGTCGTCCGGCACGTGGTCGCCATTCGAGAACCTTGCCGCCCCAACGGCCATCGGTTCTCCTCGCTATGTGTCCCGCCCACTGCCACTTCAGCTGGGCTATTCTTCGAGCTATGTCGGTGACTTTAGTTCTCTTTCGGATCTCGTCATTTCTGACTCTATCACGCAGGGAAACACCAAGCATAGCTCTCTCCATTGCCCGCTGGGCGACCTTCAGCCGTCCTATGAGACCCATAGTAAACGACCACGCCTCACTGCCATAGGTCATCACTGGCAATACACACTGGTTAAAGACTTTCGTCTTAAGGCACTGAAGTATTTTAGACGCGAAGATGTTCCGCAGCTTCCCGAACGCTGCCCATCCGAGTTGGATTCGACGAGAGATCTCTTTCTCGAAGTTGGACTTACCTAACTGGATTGTGTGTCCTAGGTAAACGTAGTGGTCAACAACTTCAATTGTAACGTTCCCAACATTAACTGGAGCGGGTATAACATGGGCGTTGGACATGATTTTCGTCTTGCCCATGTTCATCTTAAGACCCACTCGCTGGGATGCGTCACTGAGATGCTCGAGCATGGTGTTCAGGTCTTCCAAGGTCTCCGCCATTAGGACTACGTCATCGGCAAATCGAAGGTGTGTCAGGTACTCGCCGTTGATTTTAATGCCGAGTCCTTTCCAGTCCAGAAGCTTAAAAATATCCTCCATCGCAGCAGTGAACAGTTTCGGAGACATAACGTCTCCCTGTCTCACCCCTCGCTGTAGTTGGATAGGATTAGAGCTCTGATTCTGTACTCGGATCGACATAGTGGCGTTTTGGTATAGGTACTTTAACACTTCGATATACCTGTAGTCCACTTGGCACCTCTGGAGAGACTGCAGCACCGCCCAGGTCTCGATCGAATCGAAGGCCTTCTCATAGTCCACAAACGCTAAGCAAAGTGGCCGTTTATACTCTTCGGTCTTCTGTATAATCTGCCGCAGCGTATGGATGTGGTCTATGGTACTAAAGCCTTTTCGGAAACCGGCTTGTTCGGGAGGCTGGAAGTCGTCGAGCCTGCGAGCGAGACGATTCGTAATGACCCTCGAAAACAGCTTGTAGATATGGCTCAGAAGCGAGATGGGTCTGTAGTTCTTCAGTATGGTCTTATCGCCCTTTTTGAAGAACAAAATCACCTCGCTTCTGCTCCATGCCTTCGGCGTTTTGCCCTGGTGGATGATGGAGTTGAAGAGCTTCTAGAGGACTTTAAGTACCGGCGTACCGCCCGCTCTCAGAAGCTCTGTTGTGATTCCGTCATCTCCCGCCGCCTTGTTGTTTTTAAGCTGTTTGAGGTCTCGTACAGGCTGACGTCCGGGATATTCTCGGTATAATGTCGGGTAAGCTTGGCTCTAGGATCTCGAGCTCTGCTTTCGCCTGGTGTTCTGCCGGAATATAACTGTCAGTAGAAACTCTCAATCTCTCTCAGGATTTCAGGAATCGATGAAATGATACTACCGTCCTCAGTTTTCAGCCTCGTCAGTTGACTTTGCCCAATAGACAGATCTCTAGTGAACACTTTGGAGCCTTTGTTCCGCCCTATGGCCTCTTTAATACGCTCGGTATTAAAGTGGCGAAAGTCGCTCGTCAACGACTTCGAGATCTGTCTATTAAGCTGTCTATAACGAAGGGCATCCGCTGAGTCCTGTAGTCTCATTTCATATCTCTTATCCATGAGTTCGAGTGTGTATGCGGAGAGTTTCTTTAATTTAGTACGGCGGGTTTTAAAGTTTTTAGACCCTACCGTACAGACAGTATCCACCACCAGGTCGTTCAGATCGTCCACGTCTATGCTGTTCTCAAGGTACTCGAAGCGGTTCTGGAGCTCGAGCTGAAAGCGCTCGGGGTTTTGAATTTGGGCTGGCACCGGTCGGAGCATTGATTTTATCAGTCGCGATCTTTCAAGCTTAACGTTGATATTCAATGTGCCTCTTACCATGCGGTGATCGCTTCCTGTCTTAACAGCGTTGATCACTGAGACATAATTGAATATTTTCTTCTTCGTCGACATGATAAAATCAATCTCATTTTTGACCTTGCCGTCGGCACTTATCCAGGTCCATTTGCGGGTGACGGGCTTTCTGAAGGAGTTCATCATATAGAGGTTCTCCCTCTCCATAAAGTCCGCCAGCATCCGGCCCCTGTCGTTCCGTTCCCCAAATCCAAATTGCCCCACTCTCAGCTCGTCGCCGCAACGTTTCCCCAACTTTGCATTGAAATCCCCCATCACAATCGTGTAGTGGGTTTTGTGGCTATGCATGGCCCGAGAGATCTCCTCATACATAGCCTCCACTTCTATTCTATTCTTCTATTCTATTCGTCAACGGTGTGTTTCGAGGTTGGAGCGTAGACTTGGATGACAGTCATCGAATATCGTGACGATGTTCTGAGTACCAAGTACGCTACTCTACTCGAAACACTACCGATGGTCAGCACGTTGTTGACGAGGGACTTGTGGACGATAAACCCGACACCACCTACGGACTGTTGGTCGCCCTCCCGGAAGTACAGCAAGTTAACGGAGTCCAGAGTTATCGTGTCCTCTCCCTCTCGTCGGACTTCAGATAACCCGATGACGTCCCAGTGTAACTTGCTGATAGCTTCTTCCAGCTCTGTCATCTTGGCATCGGTCCTCAGTGTGCGCGTGTTGTAGGTTGCCAGGGCCAGTATTCGGTTGTTATGGTAGCCGTGTCCTACCCAGGGATTCTTCGCACCCCCTGCCCCGCCGTTACCGTGGCCGCTACCGTAGCCAGGAATAGTGGGGCCACCGGGGACTAGGGGCCGTTTCGGGTTGTTTCGCTTCATATAGATATCGGTTTTGCCATAATCGCCACGCTTGGCAGGCGGGTTGGCGATCGCAGTATACCGGTTCGCATAAGGAGATGCTGCTGCCCATCTCCTTAGGTGAAGTTTCCCTTAGTCGCCTCTTACGACACCCACGGGATGTGAGGGGGTAGTGCTATTCTATTCTAGGCCGGCACTACACGGCAAATTACACTACACATTACAATAGTGACGTAAAAGTTATATTAAAAAATCAAATACGGGTCTTATCTATGTATTATATTAAACCTCTAGTCTAGAGAATATGCACACGATACGATGTTATTTATAAGAGCTGATAACGCACGTACAAAAACGTTTTGACATTCAAAAAAAGGGTTGTTTTCATAAAGACATCTCAAAAAACAATGTTTTTATTAAAGTTCATTTATCATTGTCAGGTGCAAAGATAGCTCACCTGAGCACAGCGAGAAAGTCACATCATCGGCTCTTTATCTTGTGCTTACAACATATCAGCATAAAAAAATCATATACTGAAAAAATGTGCCCAATTTTTTTGTTGCCCAATGTATTTCACTGAAAACATTTATGACATTTCACAACAATATCGCGCAATCATTGCGCGTCATATCGCTTATTCAATGCAAAAGCGCCACAATTAAAAAAAATTGTTTTTAGAGGATGGAAGTTTTTAACCATTTTGTATAGGGTCGAATGTCTCAGATTGACCCAGGCCACTATCATATTTAGGAAATGTGACGTTACAAACCACAATCACAATCATATTTAGGAAATGTGACGTTGCAAATCTGTGCTAATATGTGTAGAAGAGAGGTATTGTGTTCTCTTCTCATTCTACCCAATAGTTTGCGTGACAATAGCGTGTGACGACGGTGTGAGAAGCATTTTATCGAAATTTGACTGTAATAGTAAGTATCTTTTGGAAAATTCTATCTTTTTCCACTTGATAGTCTTGTTAAAAAAAGAAAAACATAGGATACACCAGTGGCATTTTTTTTGTGCAGGTACTAAAGGGGTTGAAGGAAAAGGGAATATTTGGAGATTGATAAAGGCGATGGATTGACAACCTGTCACTATTGTTTCGAGACAATTTCTTTGACCCATCTAGCGTTGCCAGGCGTCCGGATAAAGCCGGACATAGTTAGGCTTTTTGATTGCGTGTCCGGCCAAAATAAACAGTATACGGCTTGTCCGGCTTTTATTAGGTTTTTTACTGGAACTGAACACACCACTGTCAAAACTTTATCGGAATGCGTGTTACAATGGCTGCTGCACAACAATAAAATAAAGTAAAAAATGGGTGCGTGTACTTATGTAGGCGCGTGAGAAGTTATCCTTCTTTGGCATCGTTTACAATTAGTTTTTAATTGCATGCAAATAATTAATTACAATAAATTAATAAAAAGTCTGGAAAAGGACACAGTCAATTAAGTTCAGTTTTAATTTGAAAAAATAAATAAATAATCAAAATATTCAATTAAAATCGCTACTGAATATAATTTATTAGAACATATGTGATTTGCACTTGTATGAAACTCAAACACGTATTCCGAATATACAAACTAGAAACATGTGGATAAATATTATAAATATGAATACCTATAACTGTTACTTTCTTACAATAATAACATAAAAGTAACATTGAAAAATAAAGATGTGGTTTTTGGTTCTACTACACCAATGGTCACGAGATGGCGCTGTAGTCTCCTGAATCGCGCTTTGGTTCCGTTTTTCCAGATTAATAAATACTTTTGATAAATAAAGATGTGGTTTTTGGTTCTACTACACCAATGGTCAAGAGATGGCGCTGTAGTCTCCTGAATCGCGCTTTGGTTCCGTTGTTCCAGATTAATAAATACTTTTGATAGGC